TAAGGGGGGGGGGGGAGTGAAAGACATTGGTGTTCTTTTTGCTTCAAATCGTGTTCTTATCTTTGTAGCATATGAATGGGTGACTGTAGGTGGGGGTGGTTCAGTATTTTTGGGGTTCTTTTTGGGCTGTTCTTTTATTCCAAAAGGTTGGGGGTTTTCTTTGTTGGCATCTAGGCTGGATGAAGTAGTAACTGTTGCTTGGGAGGTTTGGTTCAGTGGGGGGGATCTTCTTGGCATGTTTGTCAAAGTATGCTGAGATCTTAGGGTGGTTATTTATAAAGGTTTTCAAGTTGTTGTGACTGCTGTTGGCTAGGTTGGGACTTTGGCTTGCCAGGTTTTTGGCCCTGCAGCTCAACATGTGTTATCACACCTTTCTCTTTAGGATCATGGGATTGCAAGGGGGATGTAGAGAGGGTATTTTGCACATTAGCTTCATGGATTTCATTATGGTCTTGCTCAATAGGGGCCACAGGTACAGCAGGGGCACATGGCTCAACCAACATGGCAGACTGAGTGGAAAAAAGGGTATGATCATCACTTTGGAGGAAGTGTAGTTCAAATTTTCTTTGCCAATTACCTTCTATATCACATTGTGGTATTTGGGAAACATCAGGCTCGATCAAATTAGCTTCAGAATTCTCCTGGACATTTCGTCGAACACCTGTGACAGTTAAGTCTACTGGGAGTGTTTTTTGGATTGTTGCGTCGATTGAAACATTGTTGAGGCAATTTGATGGATCATTATCAATCTCCTGAGATTAACAAACAATTTGGCATTGGTCTTGGCTATTTTGGATCGCCGGAATACTATCGCCGACCAACTGGTGCATTACTGGGTTCTTGAGCTGATCATGATGATCGAATGCCATGATGGATTGGTCTGCAACTTTGTTTGCATGGTCCTTAGGTGTTGGAGATGAATTCTCAATAGCCAATTGATTGCAATTTGGGCCAAAATTGGATTTGTAATTTTGTCGAACACCTGGAGTATTCACGCTGCCAGGAATCTTTGATTCCAAAATTGGAGCTTGTGATTGACACCCATGTGAAATTGGATATGCAATCAGATCCTCCTCATGAAAACGAGCAGATTGGTATCGAATTTTTCCCATTTGGACCCCTAGAACACTATCGACGACCATTTCTGTTATGCCAGAAATTTTCAACTCGTCGGTGACGACAATTCCCATGGTGGAAATGCCTGAAATTTGGTGGAGAGGTGCGTCTGATGATGGAGAAGAGTTTTCACGGCTTGGAATTTTGGAATTTGGCCCATAACTCACTTGGGAAACTTCAGATGCTCCCATGCGATTTTTGTGAACAGTGATCCCTGCGCCTTTTTGGATATCTGTCACGACTGGGGTGTTATTTTGGAATGGGGTTTGTCGGGGGAGGTGCGCATTTGTAGGACGTATCTTTTGGTGGTGGTCCGGCGGTTTTTCACCGTTGGACGGAGGCACTGTGGCCATTTTGCCACTGACGCGTTACTGTAGCTTTGATTCGCCTGTACGGAGAGGATTTTGAAAATTGGCGGCGCGGGATTTCAGTTGGTATAGCACTATATTTAGGATGCTAATATTTTGGTTTAGTAGGAGTAGCTAACTCCTAACTGATTAAACATATGTTATTGATAGTTTATGTCCACAAAGAAAAAATCTCCATCTCAATTAACCGGGGGCAAAAGGATAAAAGTATCATAATAATGTTTTCTAAGTCGAGATAAATCTTAATTTTCAAACATCTCTTTAAACCTAAATAACAGATAATACTATAGGTATATAATTGTATCGAATATGTTCAAGCGCTTCAGCTTTTAACAAAGATAATAAAAGAAATTTCAAGTTCCCTTTATATTACCACTTTTTAGTTTGTAAAAGTTTTGACAAAAAAATGTTCATTTAAAAGTAAACAAAAATTAAGAAAAGAGTACAAAGTAATTACCCAATTATTACAATGTCAAGTGAAATAAGGAAAGAGGAGGAGATAAGTAATTACTTCTATTTAAGTGAGTCAATTGTTTTATTAATAATTGCGTACTAGAATAATTTTTTGACTTCATTCAATTTTTAAAGTTTTCTTTTTTTTAACTTGACAGCTATTGGGAAGGGATGTATTAATTATTACCACCCACGCCTTTTGGAGAACAAAACTTCTTTTGTCGTAGAAATAAAGAGTAATTGTGGATATGATTTTAGCTTCTTTTATTTTTGGTAATAGGTTTTAGCCTTTTTCAAAACTATCGAATATCTTGATAACCAATTTTTGTTTTAATGAAATTAGTTAGTTCTTTTTATTTAAAGTTTATTTTGTTACATGGTAATCTCAAAATTTTACAATTCTGTTTCGCTAATTAGTGAAGTACATGACGAATATCTAGAAAATGTTGATCTTTTATGGCAATTATTTAGGATTTTCTTCATTACCGTGCGAGCACGGATAAATTAACTAGTTTAATAATAAAAGAGGTAACTAGACAATAAGAGAGATGACAACTTCAACTAAAGCATATAAGAACAAACTTAACATTAAAGGATTTAACTCAGGCTAACAACGTCAAATAGAACATGTGAGAGCAAATTCAATAATGGAATATATAACATGTTAAGACAAATTTCAATTAAGTGCATGAAAGAAGTCTAAAAGTTTAAACTGGTCAAAATACCACATATAAGCCCGTGTACACACT